ATTAAATTAGATTAAAAAGACTAAAATAATTTTAAACATTTTAAAAGTTATCAAGTTTGAAAAACACCACTTAGAAGTAAAAAGAAAAATCTATTGGCATTAAGGAAGAAATAAGGTTAGGTAACAATTGTATGCGTTCTGCAGTTAAATTTAATGGGGCAGCTATTTTTTGCCTGGGTTTTTATTAAATATGGTAGTCACATCTCAGTGCTTTGGCATATATTGCTAGGCATGGAAACTTCTGATGGGGAAACTGTTTTGTCAATAAGTAATTAGCTTTAGGATAATTTTTTAAGTTTAATAATACTAATCTCAGATAGATGCTTTGTGGTATTTCCTTTCTTGGCTAACTTTTAGGTGAAAATGTTCTATTTGTGTACTTTGCAATGTTGACTTTTCCCACAATGGAGGAATGGATAGTGAACATGATGGAATTTGCTGAAATGGCCAAATTGACTGCTTTAATTAGAGAGGATTGTCAAAATGTAATGATGAGTGGAAGCCCTATATTGACTTTTTGAGGGAAACAGAAATAAATGACACATGGTTTTGAGCAGCGGTGGGATTCAGAAATTTTAGCAATTGGTTCTCTGCCCAGTTGCTGGGTGGGCGTGGTCATGGTGGGCGTGGCCTACTCGGCCTCCTGCACCACGGGGGGGGGGAGTTTTCACCCTCCCCAGACTCCAGCAGCTTTCCTCGAGCCTCAAAGAAGGCGAAAACGGCCTCCCCCAGGCTCCAGAGGCCAGAAAGAGGCCAGAAAGAGGCCTGTTTTCAGACTTCTGGTACTTCCGGTAGGCCTGTTCTTCTCTCTCCCCAGGCTCTGGAGACTTTCCTGGAGCCTTTGGGAGGGTAAAAACGACCACCCCTGGGCTCCGGAAGCCCTCCAGAGGCTGGAAATAGGCCCATTTTCGGACTTCTGGAACTTCCGGTAGGTCCATTTTTCGCCCACCCAGAGCCTCCGAGCAGGCCCTGCATCCTGGCATCCAAAACAGCCTGCGTGGAGACTCCTGGGAGGGGCGGGGCCGGCGGGGCCACCCAGTCCTTGCAACAACCAGTTTGGCGAACCAGATTAACATCCAGTTCGCCTGAACTAGTCCGAACCGGCTGAATCCCACTCCTGGTTTTAACGATTAGAATAAAAATAATAAATTGTAGACAAAATGTAAACTGTAACCGTAGAGTAAGAAGTTATTTTATATTTATACATATAGCTGCTTAAAAGAAAATTGGAAGTCACCCCTTTATAATTCTTTATTTCCTTTTCTTTAGTTTCTGCTTTGTTTTTGCTCTTTTCTTCTTTCATTTTTCCTCTTTTTGTCATTGTAATTATTAGTTCTTGTTAATTTTTATTCTGTATTAAAAATATATTATATATATAATATAATATTTCAACTAGTTAATGCTTAGACTTGCAAGAGGAAGTTCTATGGAAGCAGTAGCAGAATTGTTTTCCCAATATTTATTCAATAACACCTGTGCTCACATATCAACTTGATTAAAGAAAGATTAAATCCTGTACTGTATTTTTAGCATTTGGAAGTGTGTTCCTTCAGGCTATTTCTAGATTTGTAAATATATATGATCAGGGTTAGAAAATAAGAGCATCCAATGAAACTGTGTGTGGGAAAACCTTGTGAAATTTGCTGGTCGCCTTTCCAGAATTATGGAAAGTTGTTTTGGATCACTTGTGAAAAGGCCAAGAACAATAGATGAGGTTAGATTCTGTGGTAGAATGAAAAATGCAGCAACAAGTGAAGTAAAACAATTAGAATTACATTTATTTACAGTCAGAGGTCACAAAAGATACCTTCCCTTAAAATCAAAATGGTATGTATGTTGCTAGCCCTTATTTGCTATCTTGTTTATTGTTTACTTTATCTATTTGTATATTGCTGTTTATTTTTACACTATGAGCCTCCCAGTCAGTTAGATTTGGGTGGGTTCGGGTTGAACAAGAGAACTAGACGTAATATATCTTTAAAATTTTTCACACTGAGTAAGATAGTAGTATTTATCATGTTGAATTTACTTGATGGAAATAAAATTATTTTGCTGAATTTTTCTTTTGGCCGAGTTTGATTTCTATGCAATTTGTGACAAAAGTCATGGTGAAAGAGCTTTAATAGCAATTTTCCAAATTACTTTCAATCATCCAAGTTTTCTTATCTTGTAATAAAATTTTTAGTTTTTTGCTATTAATTTCAAATTTAATCATAGCTCTAACTGTTGCGATTCCGACAATTGGGATTACAATAAAATCAGATTTTTATGTATCTGAAACCACAAACCAATTTTTTAGAATTGAATTGTTCTGTTATTTTTGGAATATTGCAAACTTATAAAAATAAGGTCCTTTCATTTTCCACCCATTTCATTCCTACTTTATTGTAAAAAGAAATAATATAAATGGTTGAATGGGTGATAGATTTGCAGTTAATTTATGGGTCCATCTTTCCCAAATTTTGAACACATTCAGAAATGGATTTCAAGTATGTTTCTGTATTTTATTAATATTTTTGATGATGCGCCCTAATTTTCACTAATGATATAGTTATCCCTATCATCTTTATCCAAGATGTTAAACCTTTTAAATCTTCATTTTATCAAACAAAATGTTTTAATATGGCTAGCATCAAATTAGCAATTTCATATTTGGGATTCCAAGACCTCATTTATCTCTTGAACTTTTATACAGAATCTTTTTATTTATTCTTCTTCCTGGAGAAATATATCTGCATTTATTATTCAACTATATTTAATGGAGCCAGTTATTGTCTACTGTTAGATCAGAGAGAAAGAATTAAATTTTACTTTGTTGCTTGAATTCATCTCGTTTTCTTTAAGCGCTTTCATTTTTTTTCACAATTTGCTCTTTTATTGCAGATGTACTTATTTAATGGAGCCCTCCTTATATATTTCAAAATGCTAATAAGTTAGGTAGGAAAATGATGAAGATTCAGAATATAAATTTATTCATTCATTTATTCATTTAACAAAAGTATATAGTTACTCTGGGCAGTTATATAAATTTATAAAGCTAGCTAAATGTATTATATAGCTACTCTGGGCAGCAAGACATAACACACAATCAGATGAATGAAAAGTAACTAAATTGAGGCCATTATTTAAAAAAAACACCTTAGTGTAATGCAGGGGTAGGTTCTACTTACCTTTACTACCGGTTTGCAACGGGGCCGCGCATGTGTGCTCGCTTCGCTCACTCTTCTGCACAAATCTTCTACACATGCAAGAAGCATTTTGATGACATCAGAGTCGATGGGCGGAGCCTCCCACCGGTTTTACTACGGGTTCTATAGAACTGGTGCGAACCGGAGGCAACCCACCACTGCTGTAATGTCTCCTCACCCCACATATATGCTAAGCTCCATTAATATCCCAGCCACAGTGCCTAAGGTTATGGTCTTCACAGGTCTTCATAACACTCTGGAAGGTCAAGAAGGTTGGTGTCATCTGAATCTCTGGGGGGAGGGAACAGATATTCCCTAAAGCAGAAGCCATATTTAGGTAGAGAGACTTTCTAGGACGCACCAGAAGGTACTGTTCACTGAGAAGACCCAGAGCCTGCACACTCTGCTAAATCTATTGGGTAGGCAGAAATCACTGGGGATGAGCAGTCCAAGTAATCTGGCCCAGTACCATAAAGGGCTTTAAAACTGACAACACGCACCTTGAAATGTACTTACAAGCCTACAGGGAGACAGTGTCGTTCATGCCGAAATGGTGATATATAAGCATATCATAATGCATCCAATACTGCAGTCAAAACGTTTGAATTCTGATTTGTCAAAACGTTTGAATTTTCTTCAAAGACAGCTCCATGTAGACTACATTACAATGGTCCAATCAAGAGGCGATTAGGGAATACATGATTGTAAGCAGTGCCCCCCTGATGTAAGCACGGGTGCAACTAGATGCATTTATCACACCTTCCTAATCAAAAAAAAGCTGCCATCTGCTCCTCAAGGAATCACAAGGAGCGGGTGGCAATTGTAGTCCGGAGGAGCATTTGCACAAATATACCTTTGTGCCAGTTGCATTAATTCCTATTACTATCATCATAAAAATAACTCAGTTTAAAAAAAAGTTGGCTTAAACTTTAAATACTGGTTGGAAGGTCTTACCTTGATTTTCCTCTGCAATACATTCTGTACACATGTACACATGTGTACATCTGTACACATCCTGCCCAATGAGGTGGTCCTCGATTTATAACCACAATTGGGACCAGAATTTCTGTTGTTAAGCAAGGTGGTGGTGAAGTGAACTGAGACAAATTTTATAGCTTTTTTGCCCAAGTTTTGTTAAGCGAATCACTGCATTTGTTAAATGAATCATGCAATTGTTAAGCAAATCTGTTGTCTTCCCCAATGAGTATGCTTGTCAGAAGCCAGCTGGGAAGGTCACAAATGGTGATTAAATGATCCACGGATGTTACAATTATTGTAAATACATCCTGATAGCCAAGCACCTAAATTTTAATCACTTGAACCCTTGAGATGTTACAACAGTCAAAAGTGCAAGGACCAGTGATAAATTACATTTTTCAGTGTTGTTGTAACTTCAAACGGTCACTAAACCAACAGTTGTGAATTAAGGACTACTTGTATACAAATCATCAGATTTATGCAATAGAAACTAACCTAAAAATTGGGATTAATATACAATTCTTTGAATCTCAGTTACACTGTGCTTTTCTAAAAGAATACCAGCTATCAAGTCTCTGTCATGATTCATTACGTGTACAATATTTGACTATTCCATTTAAAAGTTACCAAGCTGCAATGTAATGTATTTAATGCAGTCTTATTTAAATATTGTTATCAAGTAACAACTAAATTGTTGCTTTACAAAAGAAACAGTACCATTTACTTCACAATTGAACTGAGCATAGCTAAAATGGAAACACGCAAGCAAAAATACATTTTTGTTAATGCCCAACAGAAAGCACAATGTAATGCACATAATTTACAAGATTCAACTTGCACAATAAAACAAAAGAGTTTATTTACATATTGAAAAGGGACATATCAAGAAAAGGCAATAATTTTGGCAATGGTTTTGCTACTACTGGTTTGTAAGTACTAAACTCTTTCATCATGATCACCTCAGCCTAATCTGGAGCTTGATCTCTGACTTCTGAGGATACCAACCCAGGGGTGAAATCCAGCAGCTTCTGACAGGTTCTGGAGAACCGGTAGTGGACATTTTGAGCAGTTCAGAGAACCGGCAAATACCACGTCTGGCTGGCCCCCGAGTGGGGTGGGAATGGAGATTTTGCAATATCCTTCCTCCAGGAGTAGGGAGGGAATGGAGAATTTGCAGTATCCTTCACCTGCCATGCCCACCAAGCCACACCACGCCCACCAGCCACACCACGCCCACCAAGCCAACCCCACAGAACCAGTAGTAAAAAAATTTGCATTTCACCACTGTGCCAACCTTAAATATCATTTTGACAGTCAAGAATTTTGTTCCTACAAACAGGTCCCTAGATGATAATCTTACATTCTACAGCAAACAGAGCATATACACATATGTAAAGGCATTTGCTAACAAATAAATATAACGTTGAAGGTCACTGCTAAAATAAATTAGGGGGGAAAAACAAATGTGCACTTCCTACTTATGACTAGGCTTCAAGCTTATTAAAATCAAATGTCTTTAAAAATATATTTTATTATGTAACAGTCCTTTGAGTGACAGTATTTACAAACCACTAATCAAAGAAGGCTTCACACATGACAGCTTCCTACACACAGGAAAACCACAAGCTCCATGTGGTTCTGTGCATAACAGCAAGGAAATAAATGCATTTTGATAGTTCCTCCATTTGCTTACAGAAAGAAATAATATTACTTCAAACTGGCATGTTGGCAAAGGCTTCTACAATATGTAAATATGGCAAAAGAGTTATCTATACAAGCACACTGAATTAATAATAAGGCTACAATCCTTACTGGGAGTAAGTCTCACAAAACACAATCAAACTTATTTTCACTCAACGCACAATTGCACTGTACAAGAATAAAACTTTATATAGACACACATTAAGAAAAAAATAGTTAATATTTTGAAAACTTCATTTGTTTTACAGAAAAAAACTTTTTAGATTGTCATGTCAAGTTAGCACAATGAAATAAGCACAGAGTTGTGCCTAAATCTGTAAACTGTGAAGTTTAAGGCACATATTTTATTAGTGCATAATTTTTAACTGTTCTTTAAGGCTAATTATATAGAGATATTTTAAAAGAATTGGCATTTAGGTCAATATACAGCACACCATGTGAGACAGCCAATTTTTGACCTTCCAAGTTAAGCAGATAGCGCCCTTGGGGGGGGGGGAGTACACAACTTTGTTTTTAAAAATGTGTACTCTTAGAGCAGTGGTGGAATTCAATATTTTTTTACTACCGGTTCTGTGGGCGTGGCTTGGTGGCTTGGTGGGCGTGGCAGGGGAAGGATGGGCGTGGCAGAGTGGGGTGGGAATCTCCATTCCCACCCCACTCTGGGGCCAGCCAGAGGTGGTATTTGCTGGTTCTCTGAACTACTCAAAATTTCCGCTACCAGTTCTCCAGAATCTGTCAGAACCTGCTGAATAGCACCTCTGTCTTAGAGGGAAGAAAAGGATGTACCAGTGATGTCACAGCCAGTATTCATTGTTATGGCAAAGTTTGGAGCAGAAATTCATGGCTTTATGTATTTGCTTTTCCCCTGACAATCCCTAACAGAGAAAACAACAAAACCAAGCTCTGATAATTAGGGCTGTTCATTTTTTTAAGGATGAAGTGGTTGCTTCAATTTCTGAGGCATACCGCACTCATTTTGCTCTTTAACTCCCTAGCCCAGGGGTGAAATGCTACCAGTTCAGGCCAGTTCGCCAGAACCGGTAGTAAAAATGCTACTAGTTTGCCAAAACCAGTAGTAAAAAAATGCTTTAAAAAGTAAAAAAAAAGTTGATCGTCGAAACTTTTTTTTTTACTTTGTTTAAACATTTTTTTACTACTGGTTCAGGCGAATAGATAGTTAAAAAATACTTTAAAAAAGAAAAAAAAAGGTTCCGACGATCAGCTGTGATAATCAGCTATGTGGCACAATCGTCAGAACTTTTTTTTTTTACTTTTTAAAGCATTTTTTTACTACCGATTGCCCGAACTGGTATTTTTGTGTGAAGTGTGATAGTTTGTTTTTGAGCTCTGTATCACTCTGTGAGGTTCCTGATTGTTGCAGGGGCCATTTTGTGTGAAGTCCAGCTGCTTTTGCATTGTGCATGAGTCAGTTGTGTAGCTTTTGTTATTTTTGTGTAAAGTGTGATAGTTGGTTTTCCTGGTCACATGACCAAGCCACACCCACCCAGTCACATGACCAAGCACGCCCACCTCACATGACCACCAAGCCACGCCCACCAAGCCACATCCACAGAACCGGTAGGGAAAATTTTTGAATTTCAACATTGCCACTACCTGATCAAAGAAGAGGTAATGAACTGCCCCAGCTGGGGCATTCATAAGTAAGTGGCTGAAAGGAAATTGCTGGAAGATATTGGATGATTGATTGCCTTTGGTTGTTAAACTAGGTTAGGCATGTTATGGGGCTAAAATTTCAATTTGAGTGTGTTTTCTTACTCAGAATCCTAGTAAACCATGCTGTTGATTTTTAGCAACACTGATGAAAACAAACTTTGGGGCCCCAAAACCAGGCTTGGAGCCACTGATTGTCCATTCCTTTAATTGGGAAATTAAAGTATTGCTTAGGGAAAGTGTATGCATAATCTCAGCCTTCAAGGAATAAAAATGCAAGTCACAGTTATATTTCTGAAACTGCCAGCAAAAATCAAATAAAACAAAAATATGCACATCATATTTTTCAACGGAAGCAATTTATACATTCATCAATGAAAACCTGTCAAGTATGATATGTGGTAGAAATCGGCCCTTAATACTGTTTTTTTTTTTAAAGAAAACTGAACAGAACAGAACAAAAAAAAATAATCACGAGATCCCTAATGTGATGTTGGCAAAGCTGACTTCTACCAAAGTTTGAATTTTTTTTAAAAAAAAAATGTCAAGAACGGCTCATTAGAGGATCTGTTTGTGATGCTTTGAACACTCATTAATAGAGGCTTGGTAACAATTCTAGCCCTCAAGGCTGCAGAGGTAGAAAAGAAGGCGGTAGCCATGTCCTTTGGGGTCTGGACCACCAGACAAATTCCTACAGCTTCCATAAGGTGTCTGTACCATTTACTAATACATTCTAATACTGAAAGGAGCATCAAGCGATTAGTGCAGTTACTTTACCGTTAACATACGTCAAGACTTATTCCTCTAACTCCTGGAACTTTCTCAGCGGATTCCCAGTTTATAGCAACTAGAAAGTCTTTGGCCATCGGAAAAGGAGAAGGAGTCTCCTACATAGAAGGAGTCGTGACGGGAGTCCATGTGGAGGCAAGTCTAGCATGCACTGAGGCATCATACTGATTGTCAGCAATATCTGTGGATGCTCCATTGTCATAGAGGGGAGAGCCCGAAGAAGTCGTAGCGACGGAATGAGGAAGTGTGGGGTAGTGGGTTGTAGAGCCTCGCAAAAACTGGGATCCTATCCCACTGGACATCCCGCCTGACTGTGAAACGGGTGAGATGGTGCTGTTGCTCACGGACCACAAGTTGGGATATTGGCTACATAGAGAAAGAAAAAAAAAAACAGTTTTTCCATTTGTAGAAAGGCAGCCTTGTGAGCAAAAGTAATTTAACATATCATATACTTCTGCAAATTATGGCTCACTTCACTAGATATACCATTCTAAATATAGAATTTATTAACATCAACATGTTTGGGGAGGAAGGGGAGGAAGAAAAGTATGCATTTGAGTAAGGCACTGACAAGATGCAAACAAGAGGCATAGGCCTCCTTAATTCAAGTGAGTATTTTGCTGGATCACACAGTTAATATATAGCAGTGATGGCTAACCTTTTCCTCACCAAGTGCCCAAAGCGCATATGTGCACACCCGAACCCCCAAAATGCAATGCACATGTGCCCCCCATGTGCCCCCGTGCATGCACGCAGGCCCCCACATATACATCCCACCCCCACGCATGCGCGGCAAGAGATCCGACGACCAGCTGGCTGGCAGGAGGCGTGTGCATATGCACTGCGCAGCTGAACTGGGGTGACGGCTCGCGTGCCCACAGAGAGGGCGCTGCATGCCATCTGTGGCACGTTTGCCATAGGTCGCCATCACGGGTATATAGCAATAGCAGTAGCACTTAGACTTATATACCACTTCATAGAGCTTTACAGCACACTCTGAGCAGTTTACACTCCAAGCATATTGCCCCCAAAAATCTGGGTTCTGGAGATTTTATCGATCCCCAGAAAGATGGTAGGCTGAATCAATCTTCAAATATGCAAATTTATGATGCACATAGATGTTGCCACCCCATTCCAAATCATCTTTTTGGCTTCAGAGGGAAAGTATTGCAAATCCCTCACGAGAAGTACTAAAGATTTTTGGAAAGCATTTTGCAATTTGGTTTTTAGTACTGACTGGTGTCAATATAAGTTCATGAGTCTCTCTCCAGTCCCAGATGCATAAGAAGCGTTTAAGCAGCTTATTTATTAATTTCCATTCACCAGCTACTAAAATGGAACTATCTGTAAACCTAGGCACAAAACTCAGCAGGATTTTCTTTTCTGAAAAACCTCATCAATATAGGAATCGGAACATTATATCAAATCAAAAATTTTATTGAGGTCATAAACTAGCAAATTATGAATACTGTACATATTGTTAATGATTCCTCCCTTTAATTACTAGCGTGAAGCAGTGTTCTTACACAATAAAGAAATTTCAGTTTGTAAAAGGAAGAAAGTATTTTAGGGAACTTTGCACTTGGGGATTTCCTGCAGATTAAAGATGTGTTACAGTATAGGTCAGGTTTGTTTACATATAATTCCTTCAGAATCTTGTGAATTGCCATATCACGCAAATGCCTTCTGTTGTTAGATGGAGTCTTTCCCTAGCCACATTTTTTATCCTCCTACAGAGCAATGTATTTATTTATTTAGCAAATTTACATGGCTACCCATCTCATAAACTCCATATTAAAAGGCATTTCATAAACTCCATAATAAAAGACCTATTACATACAAGCTCCTTAAGCAATTTTTTTTAAATGGCCATCAGCATCAGGGGAGAGAAAGGAAGTGAAAAAGTCAAGATAGTAGGTCTAGTGCAAACCCTTGGACTTGCAAGAAGTAGGATTGGCATTGGGGTGTTACATCCAGCATCTCGTCTTATATCTTAACCACTGAGCCACCATGCCGCCACTCTTTGTTGCCATAGGTGAAAATTATTTTTCACTTCCTCTCTTATATCCTTTTATATGTGTAGTAGGAGATCAGTGACTTAATATTATTGAAAACCCAAACTTTGAGTCTCTAACTCCCTCCCTTTGGTGAGTGTGAGCCAATACACTTTCCAGTTAAAAAATAGTGTAAAACTATATCACTAGTTCCATCCACAGCCTTTAAAGTGACTATTTCTGACTTACAGGAGGAAAAAAGAGATGTGCTTGGTGTGTGTGTGTGTGCTTGCCGACGTTTCGACGAAGTCTCATTCGTCATCTTCAGGCTGGTGTTTTCAGCTTCGTGCTTCTAGGAGCAATGTGTGATCGCAGCTATTTCTTCCTTTTAACTGCCACCCCCACTGCCACCCCCACTGCCTTTTAACTGCCACCCCCCACTGGCAGTTAAAAGGAAGAAACAGCTGCGATCACACATTGCTCCTAGAAGCACGAAGCTGAAAACATCAGCCTGAAGATGATGAATGAGACTTCGTCGAAACATCGCCAAGACACTTCCAATTTTACGCGGGAGAAAACCCACGTAAAACAACCAAAGACATACACACACACACACACACACACACACACACACACGTGTATATATATATATATATACATATATACATGTATGTCTTTGGTTATTCGGGTTTTCTTCCGCGTAAAATTGGAAGTGCTCCTAGAAGCACGAAGCCGAGAACACCAGCCTGAAGATGACGAATGAGACTTCGTCGAAACGTTGCCACACCTCCAATTTTACGCGGGAGAAAACCCGAATAACCAAAGACCTACATACAAACACCCGCGAAAACCTCATAAAACATATATATATATATATGTGTGTGTGTGTGTGTGTGTGTGTGTGTGTGTGTGTATACACACATATAAAAGAATATAAGAGAGGAAGTGAAAAATAATTTTCACCTATGGCAACAAAGAGTGGCGGCATGGTGGCTCAGTGGTTAAGACACTGGGCTTGTTGGCGGGAAAGCCAGCAGCCCAGGTTCAAGACCCAAACTCAATGCAACGGGGTGAGCTCTTGTCCTCACCCCAGCTCCTGCCAACCTAGCAGTTTGAAAGCATACAAATGCAAGTGGTAAATAGATACCACTTCAGTGGGAAACTAACAGCATTCAGTGACGTCATGCTGGCCACATGACCACGGAAATGTCTTCGGACAACACTAGCTCAATGGCCTTGAAACAGAGATGAGTACCACCCCCTATAATTGGCAATGACTAGTGGAGTAAAATCCACAGGGACTTCTTTACCTTTATAGCCAAGTAGCTAGTATATCACAGACTAGCTGCTACCCTATCCTTGCAGCTAAAGAACACAACCACGCCACTCCTGCATAAATCATACTATACAAACAGTATTTGTGTACAAACTATTGGGTGCAGGGGGGTCACCTCCATGGGACTCATGCAGAAATGAATCTGTTTTTTCACAGAAGTTTCGTGGTCATGGAAGAGGGCTTACCTGGAGCTGGTTGGAGGACCGCTACTGTGATTCATAGGCAACATACTTGTTGGAGCTGGGACTCCTAAGCTGGACCAATTGTCATGGCTTTGGAGCATAGAAAGGCACGCTGAAGAACTGTCTCCATAGGCTGCTGCAAAAGCAAGCATTTTGTGTAAGAACATTCCATACTTTCAAATACAATACCTGAATATGACCTTCATCAGTATAATTGAATTCATTAGGAATTGTTAGAATGTATTTGCTTTTCTAGCAATGATATAAGGACGTTTAAGAATACTGCATTTGGTTCTACATAAATATCGAATATCATTTTGCAACCGTATTAGTATAGACCCAAAGCAGAGATCAATTCTGTATATTTAGCCCACAGAGTTTCAACAGACCAAGGGTTATCAACTTTTCAAAAGTAATATGCAACCTTCTTAGCCTTTTTTTGAGTCATTAGTCTATAATCAGGTTTGAAAGAAATGAGCAAAACATCATTTTCATACCAACAAAATCCAAGTCCTTTTTATAAACAGAAAGAGATCATAAGATAAAAATATTTTAAAAAATAAACAATCTGTTGCGGGCATCTGAAATAAGAAGAAATGCTCTCTTAGAGCTCTCTCAGAGCTCTCTCAGAGAGCTGTGATGGCAAAGTGGTTAGAATGCAGTATTGCAGGTTAACTCTGCTGACTGCCAGCAGTTTGATCCTGACTGATTCAAGGTTGACTAAGCCTTCCATCTTTCCAAGGTCAGTAAAACGAGGACACATATTGTTGGGGTCAATATGCTGACTCTGTAAACCACTTAGAGAAGGCTGTAAAGCACTATGAAGTGGTATTTAAGGGCTAGTGCTAGTGCTAGTGCTAAATGGCTCAAAACCAAGTATATAGTTTAGATTTACCTCAGATTCACCTTTCTTACAATCACCTAGCTGGAAATTTTAGGACTTATTAGGCACCTAGACTCTTTAAAACTGCTAATGAAACTGACTGCATATTGTAATTGAAAATATTATCTAGACTTTATGGAATGATGAATTGTGTCTGAAAATCAAAAGCCTTGCAATTTCCTATATGAGTCTCTTACCCTGACTGTTTCCATTTTGGAAAGCAGAATCAGTGCCTCTTTTTATTAAATCCCAGTACCATAAAGGTGAAAATAACAGTACCATCATAGCAGGCCACATTCTCACAAAAATCTGATTTTAAGTAAGATATAAGTCTTTTACTGCAAACCAAAGATTTAATAAAATGATCTATCTGCTATTAATAGTGAACTCTTTTGTAGACTATTCAAAACATTTAACAATTATTTGAAAAACATTTTTTAAAAAAACAAAACTTTACTTTTATTTTTAGGATTCAGATGGTTAGTGAAATCTCATTTCTGTCAATCTCAACAGATGTTACAATTCCTACAGCTGATTAAGATGGATAATCTATCTAGCTATATCTATCTATCTATCTATCCATCCACCCATCTATTCCTTTATCTATATATAGATAGCACGGATGATGTTACCAAGTTAGGATAATGACATGTCTGCAAGAAAACAAGCAAGCTCTGAGAGCACCAAAGACCCCACATATATCTATATCTATCATTATCATCATCATCATCATCAATCAATCAATCATCTATCTACCTCATCTTGAATTAATCCATTGCAGGATTGAAGATTGCATATGCACCATAATCTATATGCTGGTCAAATACAGTTTGTATAAATGTTTTCCAACCTCTCAATCTAAAGCTAAAAGAGGATGACCGGCCCAAAGTAGCCAGACAGCTTTCATCAGTGTTAGAACCTGACTCTTCTGCTGCTAATCCAGCATTTTAAATGCTACACCACATTAAATCAATTTTGATCTAGCCTTTACCACCCAGGACTGAACTAATGGGCCTACAGATGTTGCTGAATTACAACTTTCATGGCTCCAAATATAATAGTCTACAAGGAGGACAGTGAGATTTGTAGTTTAAGACTTTGGAGGGTCACAGATTCCACACCTAATTCACACTGAGATCTGTTAGTATCGTATGACATCAAAAAACTGGAGGACACCATAAAGTACTTACTTGGAGAATTGGTTCTATGGGTGTATGGATTTGGATAAGGGGCAGGACGGTGATTTCTTAACGATGGATACCTTTCACAACTGTGAGCAGGAGAAAGTGACAGAGATGTGCCAAATTGGGAATGAGGACTGGCAGGAGGACAAAGAGTCCCTGTTCCAGGAATTAGCCAACCGCCTACTGTAAAAATATGAATAATATCATTTCACCGATATATAGCAGGATTATTTGTCCAAGATGACAGCAGCTTGTTTGCACGCATCAATCCTGGAATGTCAAACCTATTTTTAACTCACATTGAAACAATACAAATGGATTTCAAGCTCTTCTTGTCTCCCCCAGTAACTTGTGGCTATAAATAGCTATGTTGTGGTGCCATTACGGCATATTTACCCATCTCTGCTGATCAATGGTGTGCCATAAGTGAAACATTGCGACAATAACATTCCTACACATTAAAGCAAGAAAACTCAAAATGAAAGTACCATCAGGAATAATTTCAAGTCACGAACATAAGATTATTATACCCTCACATCTCTTATTGCTATATCCTAATCTGGGAGGTAATCAGAAGAAACAATTAAACTGTAATCGTTTGTATCCAACAGCTTTGAAGAAGCAATGTGAAAACAGCAAAACATCCTAATAAACTTACATTTGAATAAATGGTAGTCATGGCTCTCTATGGAGAGAAGGATGGAAGAATGACACAGTCTGTGTCACGGTGGAAACCATCTTAGTTACATTCTGTGTGGAACTTTACTATATTGGTATGAAAGAATGGGAATTAAGCCTGTAATGTCAAACTAGATTTTCTATCACTTATTACATCGCTGTGATTACAAGGGAGATATTCACAAAGCAGCATGGTCATTCTGGATATTTAGAGTGTGAAACTTCAATAAAGGGAAGGGTTCTGCTAATATTTCTAATTAACCTAATCAAGATTCTGATCTTTTTAAAACTTTGTGCTGTTGTCAACAATCCCTGTCTCAAAGATTATTGAACTCTGTCTGAAAAACATCAGTGAGATTTCGGTGGGGATATTCCAGACTTCGCATGGATTGACCATGGATTGATACATTTGAACAAATTACACCAGCTTTTTTCTTATCCCACTTAATTTCAATAAGAGACACAAAAAACGATCTTGTTTCATGGCTAATATTTTAGGTGTTTTAAGAGAATAGCTTTTCTACATTTAATAAGTATAAAATCCTATTTTTTTGAAATGCACATGAGGAAAACAGCAGAGATCGAGTTTCTGCAATTCCAAGTCACACTTTTAGTCCATATCACATGGTATTTTCAACACTGGTTAATGGTGGTTTTCCCAAATTAGCAGGAATCTTTCCAATTCTACTTGAAATGACAGTAATTGAACCAGGGACTTGCAGCACGCAATGTATATATTCAACTACTGTGCTATGAGTCCATTCAAAATCAGAATATATTTCATTGCTTAATCATCTGATACCCTAAAACAGAGCTTCTCAATTTTGGCAACTTCAAGCTATGTGCTGACTGGGGAATTCTGGGAATTGAAGTCCACCTAGCTTAACGTTGCCAAGGTTCAAAAGCACTGCCCTAAAATATCTAGAGATCCAGGAATGCGGAATCTCCCACAGTCCTTTGTCTCTGATATTTTTTTCTTGGTTCTCAATGTTCAGTAAGAGAAATAGGTCGAGGACATTACAGTATTTACAGTCTTCGGCATCAGGAATGTAAAAGTATAATACCACTTCTCAGGCTGAAGTAAATTGCAGTACACATTTTTTTTAAAAAAAAGAAAGCCTTCTAAAAGATACAAATTGTTGGCGAAGATTATATTTTATGAAATATATATTCATGCATTTTATATTCATAACAAAATACAACTGATACTGGAACAAAACTGCTTTGAGAGTTTTCCATATGGCAATGGTATAACAAAAATATAACTTTCAGAAGAGAGTTTAGACATACATTGTGAATATTGTGATTGCTGACTGTCTCCCATTTCATCCATCATGTCTTTGTGATCACTTCTGTCAAAGAAACACAATTTGTTAGCAAAAGTATTAAACAGTCTAATGAAATGCAGTCTGTAAATGCTATTAAAAGCAAACAACGGATCTCACCTTTCTTTTGCATCAAGGAAAGCTTTTGCAAAGGGGTTATATTTTATCTTTAATGCTGTTATCTACAAAAAATGAAGAAAATATTTCAAATTCAGATGTAATTTTAATTATTTCATTGTTAATTGAAAAGATAATTCAGCAGCATTACTGTTAATTCCAGTAAGGTTTTTGCAATTAATTCTGGTGGGAAAAAGCCCAGAATGAAATTATTAAAACTACCAAGGCTGCAAGAGGAGGCTTTGAAATCCTCTACAATGTCTCCGCTTTGCCTTACTAAGATGCCTGGTTTTATTATCCTATTAAGGAAGTACATAAAAGGGACGTAGAGTGGAGGGAGGATACACTAAAAACAGTTATAAAAAGTGTCAGGTTCCGGGTAAAAAGGGGATAATATATTGGAAGAACAAATGATTATTTTATTAAGAAATGAGCTATTGTTTCAGCATGGAGAATTTAAATGCAAAGGATTTATATCATAGTTCTACCCATTGTTCAATGAAATATAGACCCACCCTAAAAATTTGAAACAATTATGTATAAACAATTAAGAGAAGATTAATTAACTACTTGATCTTGCTAGACTTTAGCATGCTATACATTAATATGATTTTTAAAAATTAGTTGGTAATCATTAGCACTTAATTAATTTAAGTGCTTTACCTCATTACAATTCATCATATAGGCTTCAACACGGAAGTTGTGTTTACAGACAAGAACTTTATTTCTCTCTCTGGAGGACCTAAACATTTATTCAGAATCTATTAAAGCATAATGAGTTACTGTATAATCAATGCTGAACCCGCTATGTGTTTTGATGGAATCAAAGTGGGCAGTAATAAATATTAGAAGCTATTGCAGGAACAAAACAGCAGATAGAAAAAAAGTGTTTTACAAAAAAATTAATGGTTATTATTTTTATAGGAGGATCACAACATGACAAAGAATAAGAGTTCAATAAGTGTATCTATTTAGGTCTCCTATTACTTCATTGATATATTAGCTGATTAGGACAATTCAGTTGTATATTTAAAAATGTAGGTTTTAAACAATCTTTCAGTTTGTATATTATGATAAATTGCTTAGTGCTGTCAATAATCAAGGCTGTTTGGATTCAAAGTACTTTTTAAAAAATGATTTGCATAATACAGCTATTTTTTACATTAAATAATGATAGTATGTATTGAGAATCAATACACTTTCATTATCTTTTCATCAGACTCATTGAATAAGCCCATTATGTCTCAGATCCTGGTCCTGTCTAAATCTTCTTGGAAATCAATTCCATATAATCAAGTGGTGTTAAGTTGCAATTAAATTGTGTTTAGTAATATAAACAAAATAAGGAGGTGATTACTGATAAAGTCTTGAGGTTAACTGAAACATTTTCCAAACAAGCAAAAATATCAGAAGACCTCTTTTCTTTTCTTTTTACTCAAAGAGCAGAATGCTTCCAGTTGAAACGATCACTTGATATTCTCCTGAAAGTATAACAAGAGTAGTTCTTTTTTTTAATGGCCAAAATAAACCAGTATCGAAGAATTGTATCTACCTTACTTCATTGCTACAATCTTTTTATGCTTAAGACATTTCTCCTACTTTCTAGCAATTCCATTTCTTTAAGTACTCACTGGAAGTGAACAATTACTGCATCTCCTTTGTAGCATCTTTTAAAATTCTTGCAAACAGCCAGCATACCCCTAATTTTAACATCCCCCTTCTCACTCCATGTCCCTTTACTACTTTGAAGGAGAGCAATCCATGCAGGCTCTTCCACACTTTATGCCTACCTCTTCGTTCTGGTAAGCGGTCACAGCTATAAACTGTGTCTCTGGGAAGGAATGGCTGGTGATCATTCGCTGAGGGCCACCAACTCTCACTATGTGAATCCTAGGCTCATACTTGTGCAAGGAGTTCAACATGATCTGTTGGTGTAAAGAACAACAGAAGCAAGCATTGAAAGAGTGATAAACAACATTATTCTAAGATGGCAACATCAATTATAGCCAATGGTTTTGGCTTTTTAATGAGAACAAATTTGCTGACTTAAATCTAAAAAAAAAAGTAAGAGTCCAGACCTCAGTGGCTATTTTACCTTTTGTCTTTCCAGATGAACAATCAAAACAGGAATATTATATCTACGCTTACTTTTCAATTTTATCCCAAGGTAGGAAAGCAACATTAATAGTCTTGAAATAAACTAAGATATTAAATCATTTAAAATTGATTTATTATCTTGAATTATTTCAAAACTGATAACTACATTTTTCCAAACTCTAATTAAATATTTATAATTTGATTTTCATCTTTCATTATTGAGGGAGAAATGAAATAATTCCATGCACAGAGCTTTATTCATTTCTCAGAAAGCGTTCATTTCTCATAAAAGCACTGCAACATTTTATAAATTGACCATAATACAAAATACCCATAAAACTGATCCGTTGTTTTTTTTATGCAGACAATTTAAGTAATACATTTTCCTAGTAAAGTAAGGGGAAACTTCTTTTTTAGCTGAGTTCCTTAATGACTGTCATAGCAGTCACTAAACATTCACTCAATAAAGGAAATATTAGCTTTGGAATCTCATCAGAACCAAAGTCTTTTTAATAACAACAACAAACTATAACCAACCAAAAGGCTCTTTGGGATCATGTTTGGTGCCTATCACACCCTATAGGATTATTTTTAAAGATTTTTTTAATCCTGCATTTATTATTTTTATAAGTAACTGAAGGCAGCAAACACACCTCTTTCCTCTTCCTATTTCCCCCTATAACAACCCTGTGAAATGAATTGGGCTGAGAGAAAGTGACTGGCCCAAAGTCAGCCAGTCGGCTTTCATGTCTAAGGCAGAATTAGAACTCAGTCTCCTGGTTAATAGCCTGGTGCCTTAACTTATCTCTTTTTTTTTTCTTTTATAAGAAACTTAAACTACTAAAATGCATAGTTAGCTGGTGCTAACAATAATAATAATTGGAGAACAATAATAATGTGTAGTCTTGGTTAAAGAGAAGGGAATGGTTCCTCTGTAATTAAAACTATAACTTTTAACTTTGTTTTTTAACTAGCACAGTACATGGCATATTCATGCCCACTACTGGAACAAACATCATACAAACTACACAGGTTACTAGTTAGGCATCTCATTTTACTATCAGATTTAACAATTTCGCTAATATATATTATGGTATCAGAAATACTGTTGAGAACCAGGCTGAAAATGTACATTTGTACTACAATATACAACTAAATCTTTCTAATATCAGTGATCAGCATGCTACTGTAAGTTACTTGAAAAATGTATCTGAAAATTGATTGAAACTTTGTTGCCAGATTGAATGCTAACCTGTCATCTTTGTCTCTTAAAAAAATACAGGTATTAGCCACTGAAATATTTACATAACAGTTTCACATGACTAATTTTCCATGCCTGGTATACATCTTTATGACGAAAGGACAATGAACAGAAAAATAGCTATTAACATGCCCTATGATCACAATAAGTGAATGTGAATTGTCAATGAAAACATGCTTTGACATTTCCAAAATTTTACTAGCTGTTGGTCCTACAACTAGTTTTTTTCTGTTCACAAAGAGAAATATATTAATAAAATTATCATTAAGATTTTCTCAGCAATCATATATTCTGTTGCTGCCATTATTACATATTGCCATATTACCCTCAAACTCTTAGTAAATTGGCCTTGGATTATCACTTTGATTAGTCTTTATGTGGCTTGCAAATATGCTGAGAAAGGTGCATGTCACACATCACTTTCTCCAAATTGTCTTTATACTTATTTCGGGATAACACCCTAGGTCTAAGCATGTTGACCCTTCCAGAATGTTGACAGAAATATGCAGCACCAGATTTTGGCACCCAACCATTGCATCCATTTTCTGCATTAATATTAAAACTGTGTAAGAAATTTCCTCTGCAGCTAATTTTGTCCTATAAAAATACAAGTTAAATAGAGCATCCCTCCAGTCCAGAACAGGAATATTTTCAAGCCATGCCTTTTGTTCTTATGGAGTTCCCAAGAAAATTTGTGCTATATGATCTTGTTTTGCATTACACTGCCACACAGACCCCACAAGATTCTGGTCCGAAATTTAATTTGGTAGCAATTAGGGTAACAGTTCCAGGATTCAGGACTGGCGCAAGATATCTGGTTGCTCAAAATATATATATATATTCTAAATGTCCATGAAAAATAATAAACAATTACAAATCATTGGTTTTAAATCAAATCAATTGCTGAGGGCAGGCTATTTCACTTTTCTTAATTATAGGACTAGAATACCAAGTAATTTCTAGGTACCAGCCTCCAAATTGGTTAAATCAGGTCTCCTTACAAATATATATAAGTGCATCTACAAAAGTGAATTTTGTAGATGCCAATTCTCTGGGTCTCAAACATACAAATAGCTGAGACTGTGTTTCATTCTAAGAGAGAAATACAAACACACATTGCCAGTACATTATCTTTTGACACACACCCCTCCAAATTTTTATTGTGTCATTGTTGCTGCATGCTGTTTAAGTTCCTAACACACCTGAATCCAGGTTTTAAATGATCTTAAATTTATACATCGTCTCAAAAATTGAGCAACACAGTTTAAGTAACACATACAGAAGCTTAAGAACATTTAAAGCTTTCTTGGATGACAGTCCATTTCAACAGTCAACGCAATATCCTACATTGGCCAATGAATAATATTTAACACCTCTGATGGACATACTTGTTTATAGCTTATGCCATACTAAAATATGTTCAATTACTCATTTTTTTCAAGCTTGTAATACTAGTTTTGGATTTCCTTTTCTGCTCAACAGACCCCATCACCCTCTTGCAAATTGTGCACGCACTATAATTTGTAAGCATGAATCTATCTTGAGAGCTCCAGATGAAAAGAGAGCAATCAATTTCAGATCCATAAGACTGTGTGCAAAGCACCAGCCTTTCAAGGCAAGTACCCAGATATGACAAATTTACAAAGAGGGTCTATAAATCCAGGCTACAGAACCCAGGACACAAGAACAAAACACATTTCTCCCAATCTCCTTTAGGCCACACATCCCCTTACACAGAATAAAACAGCTGAAGTTGGTTTCCAAGGATGCTTTCGCAGGGAAGGGGACGCTCAGAAAGCAGCCAAAAGGGTTAAGAAGATCCCACAACGAGGGACCTCTGTAAAATATTTTCCAGATTTCTAAACTGAAAAATAAAAGGCGGCTGAAGCCTTAAGAATGGCTATTTAAAAGGCAACTCTCCCAAACTCTCAGGACTGGCATCAAAGGTGTTTTCAGAAGGCGCTTTACAAGCGCTACACATTCGGCCTTCCTTTCTTCTGCAGCAGCCTAACCCTACGGAGTGAACTGGACCTGCGGCCCTCTCCCCAAAGCACCTTGCAGCTTCTTCTGCCCCCAGCCCGTGGTTGTTTGGGTGCCCACTCCTGCCCGCAGGAATCCTTCCCTTCCATTTCCACGCGCGCCTTCCTCACCTGGCCTCCCCCGTTGAGCTTATTGGTGAGCTTGACCTTGCTGAAGGACACGGGCGCCTTCATCCAATGGGCGCCGAAGTTGGGCGAATCCGGGTGGATGTAGACGCAGCTCGGGGCCTGCGGCTCAGGTTTGCCGCCCGGCACCCATTCGCCGTTGACGTACTTCCAGCGGTGATTGTCTGCAGCCACAAAATCCAGCAGGAAGGAGTACATGGCGTTGGGGTCGAGCCCGGAGACGCTGGCCTTCAACACGGGGAACATTCGCCTGCAGGGAGGAAGACGCAAGGAGCGAGGAAAGGCGGGAGAAGACGCCGGCGGCGCGGCCTTTCGAGCCAGGCCTAGGCGGCTGACGTCGAAGGCCTTTTCTGCCCAAAAAACAGACCCTCCTCCGCCCCAAGTCGAGCAGGCCTCGCCGTGCCTTTGGAATCCAATGTAAAGGGAAACCCGCTTCGGTTTGCAGCCCGAAGCTACCATTACATACGAGCGCAGGCGATTGAACTCCTTGGGTTGGATTCCCAAATGAACACGCATTGGTAGGACCAGGTTATATTACTTATATTTATAAACGGGGAGGGGATTCCCATCTCACCCTTAGAAAAGAGGCCTTTGAAATCCATGGGACCAGGGCCGGATTTTCCTAAAGGCTAACTAGGCTTCAGCCTAGGGCTTCAAGATCAAGAGGGGCCTACATTCAAATTGTTAGCAAAATTAAAATTACACTTTCACTATAGGTGAAAGGGCCTCATAAGTGGAATAGCCTAGGGCCTCTTTTCATCTAAATCCGGCCCTGCATGGGACATAACTAGTGAATGGCATTAATTTGGAAGGAGGCTCCTCCCTGGCCAAATGACAAGTGAGGGTGTCTTACATGGATTCTATCTTTTTGTTTCTAAGGAATAAACAGTTTTAGGGATGAGGTGCAAATGCTGAAAAATGTAGCCCTGTAGGATATGGCCACCAAAGCTGTGCTTTGTTCTCAGGTTGTGGAAGTAAATTCCGATTTAAGTCATTTTGAAGGATGCACTTTGATCCGCCCTTTGATTTGGGAGAGTCCTCTCCACTTCGGGGAAATTCACTTGCATATTAGAGGTACAGGTTCGTAGACTTATACTTTGGATTACAAAAAGGGAAAATTTGGGTTTTAATTTCCTTTTTTTTTAGTAGTCTTCCGTTGGTTGTGATTGCAAGCTTTCAAAAACAGGCTAGAAGGCCCACATAAATTTTTTAAATGGAGACATCATCAGAGTTCAAATTAATCATGGAATGGAAGGTAATCTTCAAAAAAGACTGATGGAGTCTTACTAGAGTTGAAATTCTGACACCACAATAAAATCCTGTACCCCACTAGGAAAATGAGTGTTGCTGCCTTCCCATGAGGGAGTTTCTCATATCTTGAATGGAAACTCAGGCTGCGGTCCTCCTGCTTTACAAATTGACTGGACAGGATTGCATAGGTTAAGGGCTACAAGAGGAGAGGAAGGGGAAGGGAATAAAGAAGACTGAGAGACTGCAGGATGACTGGTGGACAGATTGTAGAAGAGACCGTGAAGGGGTGCCAATGGTCAAGGGACAAAAGGGAGACATTAAGAGGTATGTCCCAAGAAAAAAATGGGACTTGGGAAAGATCACTGAGGGGATTTCCTCTATTAGCTACTATAAGCAATTGGGAGCACAAGACTTCCAATGCCTTTGGGTGACTGATTTCCTGAAGTCCAGGGCAACAATTGAATGAACACAGGAGAAAGCAAAGGGGGAAGGGGGAAGCAACCTGAAAGCATCAATACATTACTGTCTTTCCTCCTACCTGCCATTTTTGGTGACAATCATCTCATTGGTGAGTTCTTTGAAGCGCAACCACAGTTCGCTGTCCTCTAGAGTGACTCGCAGCTCCCTCTCGGTAGGATCCCCCTTTTCTCTGCCAGCCTGTAACTCATTCTCCACAGCGCTCAACAGATGATCCACTTGATACTGCAGACTCTTTCCAGAGCTGTCCGTGGTTGGAGACCCCATCTTACTGACCACCCACCAAGCCCCCTTTAATACCAAGATCCTTCTCCAGTCTTTTGGTACCAGCTCTCCGCCTTGGAAAAATTGTCAGAAGAAGCCCCACAACAGGCTGTAGTGAGGGAGGTCAAAAGCACCCTAAAAGTAGACGGTGGGGCGTGGGACAGGTCTGCAGTTTGGGGGCAGAAGGGTTAATTCCACTTGACCTCTCTGGTCCACGCCACTTGAAACGAAACTAGTTAAACAGGGGAGCAATTAAGCCCCTGGTATAAATATCCTTGTGACATCACAATGCCAGTAGGGGGCTCACCTGATTGGAGGACAGTCCCTTTGATGTGTCTGTCCCGCCCACCTGATTGGCTCCCTGCGGCCATATCAGAACGAGCCCAGGGAAAGCCTGTGATGTTAATTGCAGCCAGTGGGATTAAACGCAGCTATTTTATGTAAATCTGCCTCCAAATGTTTGCACCTCTATCAAAGCCACCGAGCTGCAGTTTCAGTAGCCAAAGAAGGAAATGGCCCAGGTCAGTAAGAGAGCCATAACCGGTAGGCGCTCCGCATTCCCTTTGCTTATTCCAGTAGCACCATTTACCAATCCAAAGATGTGTCTTACTACTCCTGCAAAGAGCAGGATGGTTTGGATCAAATCCTTGTGGGTAGGAGTATACCATGAGAACGTTAATAGCCATGGATCCATCACCCCAAACTTTGGTCTCCAGTGACCGGATCTTATAAGTTCACCTATTTGCATATCAAGGTTGTTCAGATCAGTGGGACTTTGATGTAAAATGAGCTGCATCTGTGGCATGAGGAAAAATGGTTATTTACTGCCAAGAATCCATTTTAAACATGCTGTCCATTTATCAAAGGAGACCAAATCAGGAAAATCAGGAAAATTTTTGAGAGCCTTTTAATGATGTATTAACGGGAATCCTCACATATTTTCAAGGTTCATATGCTCAAGGTTGATTCAGCCTTCCATCCTTTCTAAGGTAGGTAAAATGAGGACCCAGTTTGTGGGGGCAATAAGCTGACTTTGTATAAATACACAAAAGTATGAAGGCTATTGCTTAACGCATTGTAAGCCGCCCTGAGTCTCCAGAGAAGAGCGGCATATAAATCAATTTTTTTAAAAAATTAAATGTATAAGAGTGAGGGGTTTTGGTCCCTTTGGTGCTAAAACCCTAATGAAATTAAAACAAACTGCAACAGTGAAATATTCTTCTCTTTCCATAATACAAAAACAACTCCCTCTTCCAAAGAACTGTAATTATAAATAAAAACTAATTAAAACTTGGTTTTAAAAACCAAGTACAAATATATGGAGAGAGAAAGAGGCTCCAATTTTGAAAGAAAAACTTAAGTGTCAATTAATCTCTGAAAATTTATGGTTGAGTGATATGTTCCAGCTAAGCAGAGTTTTGCAGCTTTATGGATGTGGATATTGGATAGGATAGGCCCTACATCTCAGCACTTTTTAGTTTTTATGGGGGACTTAGTCAGGATTAAAATTACTTCCTCCAACATTCTTTGTTGCTTTATACTCTGAAACAGATTGGGCAACAACTAAGATATATGTGCTCGCCACAACTGGAATAAATAATTGCTGTAAGTTGAATAACTTAGAAGTGTGCTCTGAACTTCAAGTCTGTATGACAAGCAACAGGGCAAGAAAATTGACAGAGCCTTGGGATCAAAGAGATATAACAATACCTTTTTAATTATTTCAACAAGTAGCATATAAACATGCTCTTACTGCATATAATTTAATTTATGTTGTAAAAAGTAAGGAATCCAACATAAATCCGAAGTCAAGGATGGAAAGTTGTGGAGCTGGTACTGCTATCTGAAATCCAAGCTGTTTAGACAGAGACATTTCAGTCAGCTAACTCAGATAAAGGATACGGACAGTCTTACAGATCTTAATAGATGACTTTAATGGCCTGGAGGATATAATGTTATGGTAATTTCAGTCCTTTTCAGAGAAAATTGAATCAGTAGGGTTTGGGAACTCTCTTTTGAGGTATCTCCTGTCTCATTTCATATGCTTTTAACAACTATATAAGGCACAGAAGAAGAACATTTTATGTCTTAACTGTTGTAAACAAGATGCATTAAGGAAACAAACAGACTTGGGGGAAAGAGTGATATTTCTTCTCCACTTTTGGTCCTTAGCAGCTGGTGTTCAAGGTTGTCTGCCTGTGAATCCAAGGGCTAGAAAACAGACATCAATACTTCCTTTGCAGTTGTCCAGTTCCTTTTTAAAACTCTCCTAATTGGCCATCACCACATCTGATGACAGCAAATTCCACGGGGCCATCTATGCTTTGCGTAATCCCAGGGAGGCTGTGGGCTTTCTGAACAGATGTCCAGAAGCAAATTGGGGATGGATGAGAGCAAACAAGTTGCAGTTTCATCCAAGTAAAATGGCGATGCCCGGGTGTGAAAATGGAGTAATCAGAATGGGGTGCCTTTGAAGATGATTCAGAAACTTCAGCTAGTGCTAAGTGTGGTTGCCCAAATGTTTATGGATGCTAAGCATCAAAACATGCCACTTTGGTATTATATCAGTTGTACAACCTACAAATTTGCTTCCATGCCTATTTCACAGCAAGTTTTTTTTTTTTTTTTTTGGTCTTTTTAATGGTATCACAATTTAAAATCTCATAATTGCTCACACACATTTAAGCTTTCCTGGGACTAAATCAGTAGGTACATTCAAGCTGGTGGGTTGTGAAAGAAGGATTTATTAGAGATGGGCCACTTTTTGGAACTTCCTCCTGAGAATTATGTCTAGACTTTGCTGTTAGTGCTGCATTTTCAGAAATGCCTCTGGCAATATTTGATTGGATGATACTTTAATTTACCTTTTAGTTTCAGAATGTTTTTAACTCTTAGGCTTATGTAAATAATGGTATCTTTAATGTGGTTCTCTAAGTTGTCAGAAGTTTAACTTGTCTGGTTTTTCCATTGGACTTATGTATTACCGTATATCTTGATATTCCTTATTGCTCATTGCTGAGTCATTTTGCAAAAACTCAAACAATGGCATAAAGGACCTTTTCTGTAAAACTGATCATCCCAGAAAGAAAGAACTGAGCTTTTGTATATCATTTTTAAAGAGTTCCCACCGAAAGAAGATTGAGCTATAAAGGATAGGAGATCAAGGGTCCCGGGCATATATTTACTGGAAAAATCCTGTCCTCGGTGGAATTTAGCTTCAGAATGAACTTAGATGGGAGAATTAGCAAGGTTACAATCCTAAACAGGTCTCCTCTCTGGAATGAAGCGGACTTCGTGCCAGAATGTTGGCCGCATCATAAGAGCGGCCGATGGCCTTTAGGATAATCATTTCCGAAGATGCTGAGAAGGCCGACCTATTGCATGGCGTTTGAACTGGGAGTCGCTTCTGTTTTGGTCCGACGCTGCTCCCGTTTAACGAGATCTTTATTGTTCTTCCAGAAGCCCAAGCAAACCATTTCCTGTCCATTGTCACCTCTCGCTCCCCCCCCCCTGCCCGGCCTCATCCTCCTTCTGGTCAGAGGTTCCCACCGCAAGGTAATAAAGTCGCCCCTACTAAGAACCGAAACGGCGGCGGCGGCGGCGACCCGACAGTTCCCTCGGATTCCTCTTTTGGGACTGCTGCGGCTGAAACTAAGCCTCGGCTTCGGAGGACACCCTACCCCCCCCCCCCCAATCGTCCTCCGGAGTTGACTTTTATTTTTGAGAAAGAACCCCTAGGGTTGCTTTTGTGGTTCGAAACCCGAGTTCGCGCGACACGCAAATAAATCAGCCCTGCCTTGTTCCCACGTTCAACTTTTAGCCCCGCTTGTAGGAGCTAAAAAATGAGCGTGAAAACAGTTCGTGTTTCACATCACTGGCTCGAATAAATCACAGCCTGCCTTAGGACGTCGTTTCAGAGCAGTTGCGTGTTTGTAGCTATTGTTGTAAATATCATATAGGTGCACGTCACGATGTTTACCAAGGGAAGAGCTAAGGAGTTTCTTATCTAGCCTATGCCGGCGAACAACAGAAGTCTAGACGGGTCTATTCTGACGTAAGCTCTGTTGATTTCAGAGGGACCTATTCCTAAAGAAGATAGGTAAATGATTCCCACTTAAAATTTATCTTCAAAAAGACTTCGCGATTGTCTGGTAGGGGCCACTGTAAGCTGTACTTCACGCTCGATAAGCGCTTCTGCATTTCTCTTACAATGCCTAAAAGATCGCACGCTCTCAATCTTCCCAACTGGGACCGCTCTCATTTTTTCTAGCAAAGGAAAATCAGAGTTAGTGACTGCTAGGAAAAATATGAACCTGTTTAAAATTTAAATTCCCGGGGAAAGGAGGGGGGGTTCACACTGTAACAGCCCTAGGCATGGTTAACCATCTCCCTCCTTCCGGTGTTTCCCCCACCCTACCCCCACCAATCACAGTCTTTTTCCCAAGAATTCTTTTCACGTAGGATGAAAGAGTGGGAGGTGGGTGTTTCCTCAACAGTTTTGAGGAGGAGAGACTTAACAATCTTCTTAAATAACCCCCCAACAGACTGGTTCCTCATTGTCTTAGCTCAAAGTTCCGCTGGATTCCGTGGCGAATCTCTGCAACACCTTAAGCCAAACCACGTTTTCATTCAGCAGCCTGTTTTGCGAATCCAGCCCGAACGGTTTCTAAAACATAGCTTTGGGCGGTGTAAGAATCCAGACAGGGGATCTCTGAAGAAGCCCCAACGGCTTTAGCCACTTAATCCGGATTCCTTTGGTTGTGTTCATGCCACATGAGTGGCTAATTTAGTCATGACTGAAATCCAGGTTTTAGTAGTGCCTTTACCACAGTAAATGGGTGCACGCTGTCTCTAGGCTCAGATGGGCTCGACTACTTTGGGTGGGGATGCAAAGGTCACCCACGCGTCCTGGGGACAAGGCAGCTCCTCGGAAGAAAGTAATTTGCTTGTCACTGAGGTTCCATCAGCGTTCAAACACAACTTCCATAATCCACCAGTGCTGCGGATCTCTAGCGGGCTGGGAATGAGGATCCAAAGCTTCTAAAGGGCGCCGCCAGGTTGGGAAAGCTGCTCTCTAGAATCACTGGGGTTTTCATCCAAAAACTTCGCGTCCAAAAGGCGACGGTTTTGAGAAAGTGGGAGGTAGACGAAAAAAGGAGGGACCCCTAACTGGCATAAATGTCCCCATTTGCCGGTCCCTGTCCCATCTTTCCTAAACTTCAAGGGAGCACGG